GAAACACGACCTACTAGGGTGAAACATACCTATCATATTTCTATCCACGACAAATCCACAGTTGCATTTCTATATAGTTTCTTCAAACAAATAGAGGTAACTTGTTTACTCTTTGACCACCCACGAACGACACGTTATCAACCGAGAAGTAACAAAAATCCGTTGACCGTGGACTTGAGGAGCTGGCAACTTTTAGTCTTATGAAAGTGTAGTTGTGATTGTCACTGCATTTTTACACGCTTCTATATAAGACCCTCAAGTAACAAGACACCGCGCCCTCTGGTTTGGTAGAGAATCAACATATCACGCTTTGGTCCTTGACTTCCTTGGGCCATCACTTCACGATCTTTTCCTCGCACACAATAAAAAATTCAGCCTTCACGCTGTTGTGAATTTGGGGGACCAGCTGGTCAGTTGATTTGTGCTGGGTTGTTGCAAGTAGGCTAACTTGTTTCCCAGCTCTCACGTCTTGAGTACATCCACTCACACAATTACGTTCATGGTGATATCAAACCGCAGAATGTCTTGGTGGGTCTTGGCCACTTGAGGCACACTGCATTCATTATCGATTTCGGTATCGCGAAGGAATACTGGAACACCGCAACCAGAGTCCACATCCCATTTCATCAGAATCAACGTCTCACTGGCACTCCTGTGTTCGCTTCTATCAACAACCACTTAGGAGTTGACCCAGGTCGTCGTGACAATCTCGAGTCGCTTACATACATGTTGATTTATTTGTTGCGCGGCTCCCTTCCATGGTTGACTAGTGACGAGAAGCTCTCCAGCTCATCTATTCTCGAGTGCAAGGTCAACACCACTATTGAAGACTTATGTGATGGAATTCCTGTCGAGTTCGCAAGTATTCTCATCTACACACGCTCTCTTGCGTTCTCAGAGGACCCTGACTATGGGCATCTTCATTCGTTGCTTCACGGTCTTCAAGCCACATTGTCCCCACCAGCTATGTGCTCGCTGGATTTCAACCAACCTGATCATCACAATGATCACATGATACATCCCCCTCCAATCTCCGATGAATACTGGATGGCTGAGGCAGTGCCCCCATGTCCGCCAGATGCAACACCGCTTCGCAGATCGACTCGTGTGTGAGTAATCTATTTCATTTTTCCACTCGCGATCTGAAGCTCAAGTGATTTCCAAGTTTACGCCCACGTAATGGCTCTCCGATGCACCCAAGTGACCCAACTACTTCAGCTCCACGCCCGAAAAAAACAGTTGTTGCAAGATCACGCTGTTGATTGTGTATCTCTTATCTGTACATAATATGTATATATGATACAGTGTACGAGCCTATAGGCTACTAGCCTACAACGTTTCTGGTCAGACGTGGCCAAATACATGTCAATTAATCATCAATCATCGTGGCTCCCACGCAGCTCCAAGTGAGCTTCTATCTTTTTCACACTTGCCCATCTCCATGCCCATCCTCCTTGCAACTTACCAGTGTCATTTTTCTGCAGATCGGTTGGCCTGCGACAGGAGCGAGCTTATCCTGGATACTTATCCCTGAAGCCTGAGTCCCGACATCTACCGGACTCACCTAATCGAATGCAATCAGCACAATGGCCAGCGGATGACACATGGGGGATTTTTAGCAAATGCCCTGCTTCCCTTTCGCTGTATCGTTATCTAGGTTTAATACTCAAATGATCAGGTCATCGACCCCGGGAATGAAGGTAATCTTTATGGTGTTTTTAAAAACTACTGATCGTACACCCTACTGTGTGGCGCATGGGGAGCCTTTTGCAAACACACTATGTCCCTTTGCTGGATGGCGTTGCTGTATGTGATCTGGTTTCTGAACTCAATTGATCAGTCAATTGACTACGAGGATGCAGGTAAGGTTTACTTCGCGTGATATACCCAACTGATTGCGAGATTTAGTGTCCATCAGAATGCCCATGAAGTTTATGGTACCCCTCTCGTCAGGTAAGCTCTATGGGTGGCGGGCACCAGGGAAACCCCACTCAAATGTTGTGTTCACTAGGACCACTGAAGTGGAGATCTCATGGTATGTACCCTGAGTGCATGTTCAATTGTCTCCCTTGTGTCGTATCACTATTAATGATGTTGTGTTTAGACCCGTTACTTCGCTTGTGCGATGCACTGGACTTATCATAAGTCGACTCAGGACTGGGGTTTCCCCGTTGTTTCCCCAGGATGAAGGTTTATAAAGACTCTGTCTTTGAATCTTTACCATTACAATCACTTAAACATGGCTCCTCGTCGACGAGGGCAGAAGTCTCAGGTTGCCACCACGCCTACTCCTGCTGCTGTACCTCTCTTCGTCCCCGCTGCTGCTGCCCCCATCGCTGCTGCTGTTACATTGAATGCAACTGTGCTTCAACACCCCCATAGACAACGACAAATGCCTATGAGGTTCCGCGACAACAACCCAGCTCAGACTGGCACCAATCATACGGCAGATGACGGAGAATATATTGAGATCGGCCATGTCTCTGGAGATGAAGAGGATGACTTGCCTGCACCAGGAGTCAGGGCTCCTCGCCCACTGCAAACGGCTACTAGTACAGTTTACTCCACCCAAAACGATCCCTTAGCCACGGGTATCCAAGGAACGCAGCCCAAAAGCACAGCTGATGTCCGTTACTTCTTTAGGTTGGATCCAGCCACTAACTGCAAGATTTGCCAAGTATGCAAGTGAGCACATATACATATCTGCCGTTCTTTCGTTCTTTTTCTCATCCTTGTCCAGGGACTTGCAGAAGGTGGACGATTCACACCAAATTACCACATACAAGCACACAACCGGCACTTCTGCCCATCGTAACCATGCTTTCTTCAGCCATACCGACCTTTACCTACAAGAGGCAGAGTGCCTGCGCTGGCCGATTCTTGTAAAGTCACTGAAGTTGCACCTTAATGAAGGGTGGAATTTGGCGGCCATCCGTGAAAGACTTCAAGACCCCACTTATCATATCGACTCGCTCGGTACCATGCCTAATAATGGATCCAACGATTCGCTGCCAGGAACCGGGGTATCTCTGGATGATTACATTCCGGATTTTAGCATTGACGAGATGCACCGGCAGTTAGTGAAGTTCATAGTCGCGGATGACCAGGTGAGTGGGATTTACTTTTGATGTGCCCTTGTTAATTGATCATCTGCAGGCAATAAATATAATCAAATGTGTAGAGTTTCGGCGCCTGATACGTCTTCTGCGGGAGGATGTGAACGAGTCAGACATTCCCCACCGCACAAAACTTCGTGAACTGGTCATTATCGTGTGGCACGAATATTTCCAGGTGTTGAAAAGAGATCTTGCGGTAAGTGTCTAGTTGTCGAGAGTCCCGTCAAATGCCTTATGTATTCTTACAGAGGGCGCAAGGGAAAGTATCCTTTACATCTGACCTCTGGTCGGATAAGAAACTCTGCCCATTCATGGCACTCACCGCCCATTGGATTGCCAAGGAAGAGAATACCTCAGTGCTTGTCTTGAAGGCGGCTTTGATTGCCTTTCACCATGTTCCTGGAAGCCACACTGGCAAATCGCTTGGTTCAGTATTATTGCATCTCCTTGATCGCGCTGATGTTGCAAAGGATGTCAGTGTTTAGCTTTACTATATGACGCGCTCTGATTTTGTTTAGCCTGGACATTTTACTTTGGACAACGCTGCGAATAATCAGACTTCTATGAAGGAGCTCTCCCATTTACTCGAGGCATGTCAGATTGATTACGATCCAGTTGAAAACAGAATTCCCTGTTTTCCACACGTGATCAACATATGCGTGAAGCATATTGTCAACAACTACGCCACGGCAGACTTTTCCTGTGTGGGGGACCAATGGAACATTTGTGGCACACCTATCAACAAGAAGGAATATATTGGCGCTGTCACCGGTAAAGCTCTCGAGCGGGCCAGAAATGTTGTGCGCTCCATTCGTGCATCAGACCAATGACGCGGGATTTTACGGGACACTATTGTGATAGGTAACGGGAAGGCATGGTTTCAAGGAGACAATGGCGAGCCGATAAAGCTCCCTACAGTCGAACTCCTGCTCGACAAACCAACACGGTGGGATTCAGTTTACGCCATGCTTAACTGTCTATGAACTCTATGTCAGGTAAGGCCTTATCTCACTTGACATTAGTCATAGACTAATGATTGCCCAGGCGGTTGATTTATTCTTTGAGTCTGCCAATCAACACTCCATACACGAGAAAAAGCTGAGTCCAATGGAATGGCATTTCCTTCAGGACTTCGAAGTGATTCTGGAGGTCTGTATTAATGCCTTCGAAACGCATGTCGCAATTAACTGTGTAATGTCAGCCCCCGCACAGAGCTCAGCAATCTATGTCGAGCGAGAGCACTCCCATGTTGGGTAGTGTGATTCCAACATTTGAAAGGGGCTCGATGATTGGAAGCAGTTGGCCAGCGGTGCCCCGCACTGTGCACCACTTATCAACATTGGTTTGACTTGGGCGGAGAAGTATGACGACCAGATGGCCTGCATGAATGCATATGCAGTTGCGATGTGTGAGTCCCTCGCACTTTCACAAAGGTTAATTTCTGATGATTGTTTTATAGTTGTTGATCCTACATGCCGAATGCCGTGGGCTGCAGATCACTGGGACAGGAATAGACTCGATTCAACTCAAGCATTCATTCTCAATCTAGTACGTCTAATTAACTAACAATGACATGCGCTCATATGTCCTGCAGATGCATACCAAGCGAGCACAAAGGCTCCCAGACGTACTGGTTCCAACCCACCCAGTCTCAAGACTACAAGCACGCATGCTAGGCTCGCGTATCTATGGACTTCCTGAGAGGGATGCACCGCCGCATAGCCACAATGTTGTCCAGACGGTCAAACAGGAGTTTGGGGCTTACACCACAGCCAATCTTAGTCCTCAGGGAATGAATATACTCTCCTTCTGGCAGGTGAGAATCTTATTCTCCGTCAAGTCACATCTTTCGTCGTTGACCACGACATCTCAACTAGATGTCTGAGGCAATGTTCCCGACAGTTTACACCATCACTATGGACTACCTCCCAATACAGGCGTCTGCTGTTCCCTGTGAGCGGGTGTTCTCATCAAGCAGCGAAATGTACACCAAGAAGCGCAATCGCATCTCCCCAGTCCTCATGGAGGCGCTACAGATGGTGAAGTTCTCCGTCAAAAAGGAGCGACTGAACTTTACCAAAGGTTGGGCGGCGTCGCAATGGGACATGGAAGGTGCGATGGTATCTGACAATGGTTCTGACGAGATTTTGGCGCCTGTATCTAGTGAAACGACAGGTGACAGTCGTGCATACGACGCTGTTCTCAAAGCCATTGCAGAGCATGAGTGCGATGACGTTGACGACGAGGTCACCATTTATGATAACTGACATCTCCTCAATTTCCACATATCTTTTGCCGCTCATTTCTTACTCTTTGCTTACCATCATTCACTCTATGTTTCTTCGTGTTTGTATATCTAATTTCATTTGTTGGCTCAAATACATCTGACAGTCTCCTGGTCAGATAATTGCATCCTCAAGGTATGTTCAGCTGGAGTCATGCTGATCAGTGTGTGAGAGCGCCATCTAACACAGGTTCACTCTTTTTCCTCCGCTCTCTGTCACAATTTCCCTAGCGCTCCCCACCATTGATGGCATTTTGCCGCACGCAAAGCGATGTTTTCTGATGTCGGAGAACCTGCGTGCACTCCGTCTCTCACCATCTACGAATCCCGCTGTGGGAGAAATCGTAGAAGTCCGCTATAGTGATAGCGTACCGATCCTGCTGGGTGCAAGAATAGTAGTCGACCCAAGGGGATAGCTCTGAGAGCAGTTCCTCAAGTATGAGCGAGGGGAACAATGAGTAGGGAAGTGATGCACTGGAGACAGAACAGCTGCTTGCGGGAGAATGCGTAGAGGTGCGAGGATGCGCAGGGATGCGGAGTATGCGGATGCGAAGTCTAGGGAGTACCAGGTATGCGAGACAGGGAAGGTACCAGGTATCAGGACGGGAAAACAGGTAAAATGGGTAAGGTACCAGGTATATGCAGGACGCGACGGGACTGTCTTGCGAGTGAACTCAACTGGATCTAGCAATAGCCAACTGTCGATGGTGATGTGAGCGTTCGCGCGAGATGAGAAGGCAAACAGATGATTGCTCAAGCAAGGAAAGACAAGGTAAGACTAAGCTAGTGACTCCGTAACACACAACCAGAGAGGGAATGTAGGAAAGTGCCGTCCGTACGAGTCTGCGACGTAGTATATAACAGAGTCCGTAAGAAACCGGAACCGTATAAGCGGGCGCATACATATGCGAAGTCGGAGGGAGATAATATGTAAGTAGCACTATGCGACCTCGTGCATGGGAACTGATATGTAACTGGTCCTGCGAACGGTTAGGAATGACTAACTAAGGATGAGAACGCACCAGTGAGGACGGACGGATGCAGACAGGACATGGACGGATAGTGCGTTGCAATGCAATGCAATGCAATGAGTGCATGGATTCCGCAACCTCGTGTGATGGTCCGCAACGGCCTGTGGAAGGTATGCGTGACTTCGTCCAGTAAGGGGAAATGGTGCTGTACGGGGCTGCAGCCAGATCGTCTCCTACACCGCATCACAAATGCCTTTGGTGCATCAAATCACCGCTGATCTATAGGTATGAATGTCCATTGTCGATTGTAGGTATGTCCTGGAGGTTTCCCTGAAGAAAGTCACCGCTGAACCCATTAACTTTAGGTATGAACATCAGCATCGCAACTTTAGGTATGTCCTGGAGGCTTCCCTGAAGAAAGTTGCCGCTGAACCCATTAACTTTAGGTATGAACGTACAGCGTCGATTGTAGGTATGTCCTGGAGGCTTCCCTGAAGAAAGTCGCCGCTGATCCAATTAATTCTAGGTACAAATGTCTAGGTACAAACAGGGTGAGTTTTTTTAAAAATTCTATATAATAGCAAGAGGTTGTGATGGCTCAGACCCCTCCTCAACGTACAGCATACAATGTGATATCGATTCTCGACGATCCCTGATGACTTTCGCTTCCAACCCAACCTTTTCACTTAATCCTCCCGCCCCCAACCCAATCTCCTCCAAACTGCACGCTACTAGTCATCCTCGGACGTTTGCTGCCGCCCCCACCTAATCCTCCCGCCCCCAACCCAATCTCCTCAAAACTGCACGCCACTTCGCCACTAGTCGTCCTCGGACATTTGCTGCCGCCCCCACCTGGGCCACCTCCGCTAATCCGCCGTTCCGTGAAGCCCTTTCTTCCCTTGCTGCCCTTGCTGCCCGTTCTACCATCATCTTCTCCATCTCCGCCTGTCTTGCCAGCATCTTGCGGGCACGAGTGAGACTGCAATATTGCTGATCTCAACTTAGCTTTCCGAATAACAGAGAAGTCAGCTGGCACTCACATCGGCTTGGGGGCCCATTGTGAATCGTGATCGTGTGTTTTGATATGCGAGATTATTTCAGACGTAGTTTGGACGTAGTGCTACGTAGTACTTGGTGTTGTCGCTGTAGAATCAAATCTATTGATTGATTGATATTGGTTGATTGCGCACAGCGCACAATGTTTCTTTTTTGGGTTCACCCTAAGAATTTATTAATACTTGTATTTCTAATTAAGTCTTACACGTTATTTCAGGTCCTACTCTCAACTCAACCACAACATTTATCGCCCACACTGCACAAAATCAAACGACTAGGCGTCCTCGGCGCAGGCCAAATGGGCACCAGCATAGCCTTTGTAAGTTTGTATCCGCCCTCCACGCCAACGTCCCTAAATTTTTGTCCTATTGAGATTCAAGAGGTTCTAACTTCTACGTCCCAACGACTGAAGTGTCTGATTCTCCACCATCCTTCTAACCCTCGAGGCTGATGACGGTAATGACCCCCTCGTAGCTCCGACATGCCCTCTCCGCCTTTGCTTCACTGCTGGTCATGACCCCAGACTAAGCTCAAAGTCGCGCCACATATTCTCTTTCGCGCCCGTGAATCAACCTCCATTTTACGCTGCCATTGGTTGATGAGCTTTCCCGCTCATTGAAAAGGTGACGGCGAGCGCGGCTCTTCTAGACATGTGGCAGGCTTTGGAGGGGAAAAAGATAGCGATACTGGAAGACCGTCTAGGGGAACGGCTCGTCCTACTGATGATCCAGGCATGTGTCTGCCTTGCTCTGGTCCTGATTGACAAGGGCCGCCCTGGCTAAATCAATCGCAGATGGTTGTGGCTTCCCCGAGTCAACTCCAGGACCCGGCTCTTCAAAAGCTGATGCAGTGACTCTGGACTCTGGAGGATGTGAATCTCGACACTAATGGGGAACTTGGGCTTGTGCCCATGACGTCCACAGCACGACCAGTTCCAGTAAATGAGGTTGGCATCTTCAAACCTGGTAAGTTGGGAACTGTCACATGCGATCCTGGACCTAGGCCTCTGACCTTGCCCCCAATAGCTTCGAAGCGCTGGACCATATCTGATATTGAGGTCCGCTGAGAGCCGTGCTTGCAAGGGTTGTCTTCTGGAACGGATAGACTCGTAGGAGTTGACGGCACGTCCATTTTCCATCTGAAGTAGACTTTGCCACTGGAAAGGCAAGCATAGACTGCGGCCTCGTGCGAGAGGAAGATATGGGGGCATTGCCAGACGAAGGGGTGTTTGAGGAAAGGGTCGCTTGGGAGACCGGCTTGGTGAACAACACTGAGAATGATTGGGCTCTGAGGGCTGTGATTGCATCCTGGGCGAAGCAGGCCTTGGCTTAGCCATCGAAGAAACTGCTGCTCCGATGTGTTTCTTTCTTTCTGGTGGTGTACGATCTACCAATGACACCATAGCTGATTTGTAAGTGACTATCATATTTGTTACTATATGCGTCACTCATCTGGAGATAGTCTCAATCTTGCAGATGCTCTACAAGGGTATCGCCCTTCGGTGTTACTTGAACATATGGTGGACGCTCAGTATCTTGAAAAGAAGAATTATCATTAGTTGTACTCGTAAAATCCCCAGCCGCTCTCTACCATTTGTATCTATTTAAATTTTAAATTATATATTTATTCCAAATTTAAACTTAGTTTGAGCTGGCTTGAAGCCTGGAAACACGGCTTACTGACTGGACCGGGCCGTGTATTACGTGATATATAACTAGATACATGGCTTGGCTAACTACGGCTCCGGCCACGGCTAAAGCCGGAGATAAACTCAAACTGCGGCAACACTAGTATGGGATACTGTATCCATTTGACCTTAGGTTCGTGGGGGTTGGGGTGTGACATGACATAATGGTAGGTTCGCATGTTCGTTCATCGCTGTGACCTGTGACGAACTTAAGATAGGTTCGCCAATGTGTGCGTTGCATCACTGAAGGACTCGGAGACTCCAAGTGTTGGACTTAGAGATTGATGAGCGTGACTCGGAAATAGCCAAGAAGTGGCTTAAACCTTAAATCATCAGTGTAGATACAGTAGTATGATTTTCTGTAGTACACTACGAGTTTGTTCACGCAATTCACCGTGCTTACTGTTTTTCACGTGGCCGAAAATTCTATACCAAGTCGGATTGATCCTCAGTTGATCCTCAGTCGATGACGGGGATTGCTACATATCCATATCTGACTTCTTTCTAGCTTTCTGTAGTGCCGTGGCGGGATATTGAACGCAAGGGTACATTGATATAATATAGTAAGTCTATTTGTCTGTAGTAACGACAAACAGGCCTTTGCGCTGTGCAAAGTAGGCGAATATGATGAATCCAATCTCTCTTTCAAAAGCCTTACCAGCATCGACACTCTTTGAGATCTTTGAGATCTTCCGCGCACGGATCCTGACATGTGGCAGCGTATCCAGCTCCGCAGCACCACAACGAGAATCAATGATGACTCAGTGGATGCTGAAGTATCCTTACCGGAAGATGATGTGGCTGAGAGTGATGGAGTTGATGACGAGGCCCCATTGGGGAGGTGGTGCTCGAACATATCATGTCTGACAAGACCTATGTGCCAGAAGGATATATTATGGGCACGGATGGGTCTCTGATAGTGGACGGTGCTGCTGACAAGCACTGTGATGTGATTTCACCTAGTGACTCAGAGGGTATTGAGGAGGCCAGCAGAGGAAAGTGATGGCGCATTGCAAACATGCAATATGGAGAATATGACGCACACTAGTTAGAATTTGTTTTATTTCACAGAAAAATACGAGAGAACCAGATGTCACACTTTTAGGTTCGTCCTCGCCAGATGCCTGTGACTGTCACACGATATAGGTTCAGTTCGAGGTGTTGGCAACGCTGTGACGAACCTAAGGTCGAATGGATACAGTATCATGCGTGCGTCTATACCAATATTTGAATCCTTGGCACAATCCTGATATAACACAAAACCCTATAAGGGTGAGACATGAAATGAAGCTAATGGCACACACGGCCAGCCAATCAATCCAATCTTTGGGGCCATCCACAGCCCCAGCAGTTATCAAATGCCAATTTGAGTCAAGTTCATCGCAAGCTTGTAACCAGTAGCGCGAGTCGGTCACTGAATAAGCGGCTGTATTCGAGACAATAGCTTGGCCTGCACTTCCAGTAAACCTGACGATGACGTAAGATCCAAAGTCAAAGAGAGAAGACAAATAACTCACCCAGAGATCCATGACCTACATTTATGATTAGCTGCAACATACTCAGATTGGTGGGGGTCCTCGCTGGGCACAATGCTGACGTAGGAATGTTAGTCTAAAGAAATGCAGAGTTTGACTTTACTCACTGGTAATCAAGTTTGTCCTTGGTCATCAACTTCCTGATGTCCTCTAATCTGTCTGTCATGTCCACTTTCTCCTTGATTGGTTCGACATCAGGAATCTTGTGTTCATAAGCAGACCTGTCAAGTGTGCTTGTAGCGCCATTCAAGTAGAAGGGTGGTCGTTGGCTGCCGCTCGGCCTGGAGGAGGTATGAGCAGTCAATTTATCAAGTGGAGGTCTTTCTGGTTCATGGACAGTGAGAGAACTGGTGTCGCGATTTGGAAGGCACATGGGCAGTTGATGTGGCATACGAGGCTTCTTGTCTCGCGAGAGGTATATTGAGAGTCTTTGAGCGGCTGAGCGGAAGGCGCTGACGTCTTCCATCCAGCTCGTAGAACGACTGGTCGTGCAATCATCAGCAAACTACTGATTTGGCGACAGGGCACTACAATGAAAACAAGGTCACACAAGGCCACACAAGCATCACAGACACACAAGACTGCATGTGGTACAAAGTCTACAAGTGACAAATGGTGCACAAAGTATATAGCGACATAATGTGATATATAGTTGTGACACAAGATAATATACATGAACCTATCTTCCCTGATCATGCCCCATGTCAAAGCATGCCTATGATTCAAAAAGTATAAACAATAACGAAAACTTTATTTGCCGCAGAAATGATAGACCCGCTGGCCGTATTTACGAAGATGAGCCGCTCGTTGTCTGTAATGATCTCAACACCGATCAGCAATAGCAAACATAACAGATGAACACTCACTGCTGTGCCCTCTGTGTGAGTGAATGTTAGAATACCACTCTTCTTTTGCTCCATATGTAGGCGTCCAACATTGAGGTCTGCTGTCAATAAACGGAAATTGGCTACCTCTGCGCGACGGCACCAGATATTGAGAAGCGTAACTTGATGTTCAATAATGCAGTCAGCCAGGTGCTTCTCGGCTTCGCATACTTTCCATTTTGCTTTTGCTGCTTCAAGGGCGAGGTCAGATTGATCAGCACCACCTTCTGACTCTGCGGCCCCATCCAAAAACATGTAGTCAACCTCCTGCAGATGATGTATAAGAACAATCAACAAAAAGAATAGGCTAGAACACACAAGGTGCATGGCAGTAGGAAAAACATCTTCCCCTCCCATATAGTGTGATTGTGCCGTATTCAACATTTGCGGATTTGGATTTGGATGTGGTTGGAAGTGATGAGTAACAGGCGCCGTGGTAGGAGTGGTGTGGCTGCGGCTGTGTTCAGAGAAGCATAAAGATTGAACAGAGTATAGACGTTGAGGAGAGCTGTGGGAGTTCATGGAGTGATGGTACAATATCAATAATGGCCACATGTGAAATCTTGATAACTTCGCATATGTCAGTACCAACATGCCCAAAATGTGGGAAGACATTCACCAAGGAAAGCAGTGTTACTCATCACCTCAGCCAGCCTCAAACGTCTTGTCATAGCTCCATCCGGGACATTGTCAATATCTCGCAGTTTGCGCAGGTGGAACCACGGGAGGAACCTGGAATGAGTACTGACAGATTTTTGCAACTCAGTGATAATGATCAAGTGTGTGTGGACGACAACGGCGACTTTAATTTTATGGACGATGACTTCGGTGAAGCTGGAGACCCATTGGAGGAGAAGTATGAGGGTGCCGGGATGTGTTACTCTCAAGATGGTTTGACATTTTTAGATTTATTCGATGCCAATGAATATGCGGAGTACAGGAAGGAAAACCTTTTCTACCCTTTCACAGCCAAGGAAGAATGGGAGGTTGGCAATTTTCTTTTGCGTTCTTCCCTTAGCATGGCTGTGATCGACAAATTTCTGAAGCTTCTGATGGTCTGTCATATTCTCTTCATCATCATCATTGCTTACATCTTTTTTAAGATCCAGAAATTGCGCCTTTCATTTAGCAACACTAGAGAATTACGAAGCCGGGCGGAGATGCTTCCTAATGGACCCAACTGGAAATGTCAGGTTGTCCCCTCCGTATATCCCACAAAACATCCTATCCGACTCTTTTGGAGAGATCCTATTGAGTGCTTGGAGAGTCTGTTTAGCAACCCCCTTTTTCACGACAAGCTTGATTTCATCCCTCGTCACGTGTACAAAACAGCAGCGCACCTTCTGCAGGTATACTCAGAATGGTTGACGGGCGATGCTGCTTGGGAAATGCAGGTATGTGCAGTTGAGTTTGTGACCTTGCATGATCTCACCACACACTCTGCAGACTCAATTTCCAAGAGGTGCTACAGTTCTTGGCACTGTGCTTTCTTCCGATAAGACCAACATCACTACCAGGACGGGTGCCAGGATTGCTCATCTGCTTCTTCTGGGGCTTGCCAATATACAGATGCGTAAGTATGCGCAAAGTCGGTGCTCTCATCCAGTGGTCCGCAGATGCTACCGAACATGCACATGTGTCGGAAATCAAGGAGCCTGCACGACGCACGAACAACAACGACTATGACCCCCAGATCTGTTGCCATTTAGATCAAGAGGACAAGCTGCGAAATTTCGCAATCACTATGACGTTAAAGAGCCGTCACCCTGGTGATCCCGATTTCAGGCCCAAAGAAGATCTTGAGGATAACAGAGAGGAAGAAGAGATCATCAATTGTGATGAGCGGGAATCAGATCCACGAAACGCACACCTAGAAGAAATGAACCGCACGTGCATTACAACAAATTATTTCAACAAAGCCAGGCAAACAGTGACCACAATTCCTCACCCTCCTTGAACATTTATTGCTAGCAGTGATACTGCAATCCACCTCAACTATGACCCATCTCGCACCAGAGTCAGAATTGATGATATCGCCAATGAATTCAATATACCGGATCTGTGCGTTATACTTTCGGATTTCTTGCTACGTGACGCGAGGGACAGAGGGGTGGTTCATGGCGTGGGGGGTCCGAGAAGAAGATCGTTGATTGACCGTCCTCGATCCTAGTATTGTGTTACCAGCTCAAACTGTACACACATCTCCTTCTAGCCCTAGGTGGCCAAAAGGACGACAGGACACTGTTCTTATCAATGTCGAAAGCACCTCTGATTGGCCAAAATCAGGTCTGACAGGTACACACCTTTTCATTGTGTACAAATCTGTATAAACTTTGATGCACCCCTCCAAGGTCATGCGATCTGCGAACTACACCTGATCATGCGTCCAATCCCTCGACGAGGCTCTTGCATTACATGGAGAGATCAATATCTCTGTTATATGCAGGGTCTGACCATTGGCTCGATTGATCCTGCCACGGAGATGCATATATTAAAATGTACTAAGTACTAGTATTCTGATGGCACTCCAGTCGGTAGCATCCTTCCCCTACGTCAACTTCATGCATTTGTCAGTATCATCCCTCGGCTAGGAGATGCAGCGGATGCACAATTCACAATGGCAACAACAACGCACTACTCACAATCCTTTTTTTTTGAATAAGTACTTCAATAAAGAATTCTACGACACTCTTTATTATGCTTCGCGAGGGTAGTAGTGCGCGCTTACTGTCTAGACCCTTGTACAAGGACCTGGTAGTTTGCTGATGTATGCATTTTTCACTCGCTAGCCGAAAAAGTCAGGCTGTGTGCTAGCCGTGATGTTCTCTCCGATAGATAGGTAGTTGAATTGTCCCTTTTTTGTACTCCGTTTAGGCTGAATTGTCATGACATGTGCAGGCTGTGTGAATCACTGGCGCTAAAACACTCCAGCGAAACTAGCGAAGGTCCAAGTTTTTGTAAATAAGACATTGCTCACCTCAATCATGACATTGGCATTGGCCTCAGCATCCTTTGTGTTCGGTCATCTGCTTGCAACAGTCACTACAGCCATCCCCCTCACTGACCCGAAACCCCTCAAGCAGGAGGATATGGACCAGTTGATGAGGCATGAGCTGCTAGTGGAAAAAGATGGCAACTTAGCAGGTGGAAAACGCGTTCTATGGGAGGAGGGCATACATGACCATACATCATCTATCCTCGATATTCTTATCCCATCGTCCAATCTCACAATCCAAGACCTTTACAGCATTAGATATGCCAAAAAGAAGGGTGATTTTATCCTACATGGATCTTCCATATTGATGAACCCACAGAGAGGAGGTATTCCTCAATGGAGGCTCAACCGCGCCTTCACTGGTCAGTTGAAGAAGACAAAAAAGTACCAATCAGATTCACAGGATACAGACGTGGAGACAGTCACTGCGTGAAGATCCAGACTAGCGGTACTTGAAGTACGTGTGTTTAGGCAAGATAAGCTCAGGTAGCTAGACATGAAAATAGATTTGTTAGTCAGCGTTGAAGTAGCCTCGCGTACGTGTAAGGACATGACATACTTGGGGGCTGGCTCGACGACTTATGTTAATAACAATTAGCGTATATCATGTTGTCTACTCGAGATACAATTAGATGACACTAGACTATATACCTATTGCTTCAGCTTCATTCAAATATCTTCCTAATATAATAAGAGTAGATCACCCAATGTAGGGCTGAAATAATGAATATATTCATATTGATGAATACACCACGTGCTCGATAAACTATTGTGCCTGCTTCGCGTCCTGCTTCAATTCCCCCTGTGCGCTCGTATCCCCTTCTGCCCCTGCCATCCTATTATCATCACGGAAACATGCTGAGACGCCCCCCTGCGATAGCACCTGAAGTGTGGGATAGCTGGCCAGACAGCTTGAAGAGAACAATCGCAGAAACCCCAGAAGTATATATGGCCCCAGCTAACTCGAATATCGATCCAGCACTTCTCAGTAGCTCGAACGGTTCCTTGGCCCCAAGGCGTGCTACTCACGATGCAAATAGAGATGGTCCACATGAGCCGATGCCGTTTGCGAACCCATCTGCTGCAAATAATGGTGCACGAAGGCTTACAAATAGCAGGTGAGTGAATATATGCACTGAATATATGCAGTCAAACTCACCAATTTTTCCCTATGAAAGTGATACACGTCTACCTGAGCATCGTCGACATAGGAGAGGTGCTGCGTCCAGCTCTCGACGATCACGGGGAAGGCATCAGCGTTCATCTTCACCCAGTGACAACAATCGTGAGCGGGAGGGAAGGCATAGGGCAAGAAGTCCTGTGCATAATCGCTGGAGGAACCCATCGTCTCCATCCACCAGCCGTTCATCATCCCGAAACAACCGTCACTCTCGTCGTGCATCGTCGCCAGCCACAAGGCACTTGACTCCAGCAAACATGGAAGATCTTGCTGCCATCCTGTGTGAGATGCGTGAAAATCAGGATGAGCACTATAAGCAAACGGATGAACGACTTGCACAGCTTGAAGGGAATGTACCTTCACACCAGACCTCCACTCGTGGCCACATAGTCCAAAGTCGGGGGGCGTCATCGGTTGCTCGGAGGCGCAGGCGAAGAGGTGCTGGTGCTGAGGTTGATGGTGTGGAATCACGGGCAGGTGAATTCGATCATGATGCGGAAGACGTCACAGGGGCTCGTGGTAGCCTCTCTACCGCTGCCCGGGAAGCACGAGGGCACCTAAAGGTAAGCACATTCTCACTCTTCAAATACAAATGAATTCACGTATCATAGCACTTGGTTACCGCCAAGTTCCGCCGTGCATGTGATGTATCCGACGGGAAAAAAATGGCCAAGTCTCGAGGTTGAACGAAAGAATGACATGACAGGCGAGGTGTACCTAACACCAAATTTTGAGGCGACCGTGAACGACGACCATAATCGAGTGATCTTCAACAAGATCGCGCATCTTGTCTGGGAGGAACTTAGAGTGAGTTGTGAGCCTTTCGACTTCACAATCCCCTCACCTTTTGAACAGAGCACGGCCCTTAGCGATTCCCTGAGCAACCGCAAGGTCAAATGGAATAAGCAATCATTGTTCACGTTTGCTAAAGACACGTACCGTGGATTCAAGGAGGAGTGGAAAGCGCAGAATGACCGCGAGAAGGCCGCAGCTAAAAACAACAACCAGCAAAAGAATCGCTGGAGTCAGCGTCGTAAAGAGGTTAGTCGTTAATGTCTGCTTTTAAATAAGAACAAAAACACTTACGGACTTGAAAAAGAAAGCCGACCGGTTGACAACAGCATGTCCGAAGTACCTCGAACTTCATGGCGCGGATCCCATCAACATCATCCACGCGGATCATATGTCAGACGAGGCATCTGGACCTGAAGACGATGGTGAATCAGTCGACGAGTGGAGGATCAAGATGGGAAAGGAAAAGGGCTTTCCAGCGGATACAGACATGGACGGTATGGTGTTCATGGAAGTCGTGAAAAATCCTTGGAGATCACAGGAGGTAAGTTAATGCGCCATAGCTAAAAACAGTCTTGCTTACCTAGAATCACAGCTCGCTGACATATATCACAGACTCTTCCAGCTGTGGAAAGAATCCCTCAATACCAAGCAACGTAAACAATTCCGCACGTTGCGGGTTGAAGGAACTGACCGAACGCTGCTTCGTATCCCCGATTACACGCCCTACAACTTCGGAATAGATGCGGAGTGGCTCGAAGAGAACAAGAACCACCCAGAGTATCAGGTGCAACTGAAGGAGTGGGGTGATTGGGCGGATCCACCTGGATTTGGATCCGCAAAGAACGATACAGACATTGCGGAAGGTAGCGGGCAAGATCATGAGGAAGTTTAGCCGGAGAACGTGGGACTTGCACAATAGACATACCTGTAGACATACAAGGACTCATGCACACAGATGCTGTAGATGCGTTGTTAGAATAGAAACTTGTGCGGAAAATCGCTAACGTACCTTATCCAATGAAGTTGTGATCCACATTTGTGGATTTGTTGTCGTCACAACTCCTCGAGCGATCTGACAAGTGATGCAATCAAACGGCAGAACGCAGGGTGGCGAGCCTGCTTCTTGCGGTCCCCAGAACTCGTTGAGTGCAAAACACGTTACATTGAGTTCAGGACTGTAATGCACATGAGTTCCTTTGAAAAATAACAAGATCAGGTACTCACAATTCGCTCCATGGGTCATCCTGCACAGGAGACAAAGCAAGTTCCTTCATCCACCTGAATTCAGCCTGAAGCTGTGAACCATCTGAGGCGTTCGGTTGAACATGAGAAAAAATACTAATAATCTCGCCATAGTAAAAGTTGGGGCCAACTCTTGCCTTTATTAATGAAGATCCAAAGGATTCGCGAGTACTTTTTGAAGCGGGCGTGATTCGGCGGCCATCTAAAAGCGCGAAGTCGTAAAACACTGCAAAATCGTTGAGTGGTAAGGATTGAGGAGGCGGATTCAACGCTAGAGCATAATGAACGCTGTGAGGATGTCGTGCATTGTATTGCGAATGTAACGCTGCTCGGGCGCTGTCGTTGAGTCGCTGTGGGTGCATGGATGCGGGGCCAGGCTGGACATGCAGGTAGCTTCGTAATTCTGTCTCGAGTGTAAGTAGCCAAACAATGAATGAGAGCACACGACATACCATCTAGTTCAATATCCCCTGCTGCATCTTGGACGGTTCCAAGGGCCTCCTGACCTTCACCGAGCATCCGTTTCAAAACCGACTCGATGATGGGACTTTGGGTTGTTTGAAGTGCGCCACGAGCCTGTGAAAGTTAGCTTGAGTGATTAGCATGTGAAACCGCTGACCATGGAATCAATTTGTCCTGCACGCATGAACTCCCTCATCATCGAGATTTCGACCTGCCCACCTGTCCAGTTGTTTGAGTTAGAACTTTTCAGAACCTTGTTGAGTCGCTCGGACAGGAACGCCCAGAAGTTGTATACAGGCCCATAGTCTCTGATTTGCTGGGCGAGGTGAACGGCCCAGTGAAAATTGGGTTTCATGGATCCTTCGCCATACATCTAAGGGCACACAGTTAGCCAGAGTATCAAATGAGAAATAGCTTACCCGTTTGAATTCAAGAAGATACTCTTGAAGTAGGACTTCAGCTCGGGGTAGTAGCTCAAGCTGCACGGAGCTTCCACAAAATATCTTAAGCGCAGTCGATAGACGTAGTAGGTTAGTCGGCTCGTCACGCTGCATGCGGACATTAGGTTGCTTCGGAGGTTTAGGCTCAGCGTCCTCCTTGCTTCGATTACCTCTCTTTCCCGTGTTCGCACTTCCCTGTGGAAGTTCTTGACGCGATTTCCACGCCATAAAGTCCTTGTTGAATTTTTCTTGGGCCTTGAGATGGCACTTCCGTGCAGATTCGAAGTCTTTGTCCGACTCCTTGATGAAGGTTTGCCAAACAATCGGGATCTAAGGACAGAAATGAGTGATCGACAAAGCAAAATGATTGGGTATCCTACGATGATGGGCCATGCAGTTAGCGCTGCAAATTTGTACTCGTCGGCTGTCAGCGAGCCTCCCGCAGGTTCTCCAACACGGAGTGGCAGTTTGCCAGCCCATAATGGTGCTTCGAACTATGTGAATGTTCAGTATGGTTGATACATGCCTCACCAAAGGATCCACTCACGGAGGCAAGGAACTTGTGTATCATGTCGAGTTCACGAGCTCGGGCATCGGTTGAAGCACGAAGCGCTGAGTTTTGGATCCATCGATTGTACCACTGCGTCTTAACGATCCCTGCAGAAACATTAGAGTATAACACCTGATGTGGATTTCAAACGTACCTAGAAGAAGATTGTGCATGGGGTCTATGATAGTTTGTCGTACAAGGTCAAAATATGGGAGGCGGGCGAGTTCAGTCCATCGGGCACCATGTTCTTTGAAGAACGTCGTATGTGCGTCGTCGTCCGTCAGCTTGTTATCTTCGTAACATCGTTGGCGATGTGCTTCACCATTGCGAGCTGCAAACTCTACAAGACATATTAATTAAAAAAGTCCCATGATTAATTGAGGCACATACCGTTACGAAGGGATTCGTCAGAAAATAAATTATCTTGCGAAACGTGGCATTTAGAGCACGGCGCGTTGTTATGACTGTGGTCAGCGAATCCGCTAAGTTTGCACATAGCGGGGTGATCACAGACAATGCCAAGCAGAACAACTCGTACTCTTCGTCCTGCAGATTGATTCAATACATAAACAACTAGCATACAAATGAAACTTACCTTGAGGATATGCAGGGGTATGATATATAATGCCCTCGTCATAAAGCTGGAGGAGGTCGTCAACAACGAGTCGCATGTAATTCTGAAGCTGCGATCCTGTTGGTTCCTTCGGCCCTGGAGTCATAAAGGAGACTAATAAATTTTCTGCTCGATACCTGGAATAACCATCGTTCAGATATGCACAAACAACCAAACAATAACTCACCTTAGCGCTCGCGGTAAGTTGGAAACGCACAAGGACAGAACACCTGATGAATAACTCGGTCCATAGACACTTGTCTTACGACCGAACCTGGGAAGAGAAAGGGTATGAATATTTTGATCGAGATAGAATTAAGTAAGCGCACCAGTCAAGACTCATTGTAACACCTATACGCAGTTCACCGTCGTCTTGAGGGTCCAAAAAGAAGGGTCTCATGTCAGGGCCGTTAATAGTTTTCCATATGTCACCATCTGATATATCTTTGAGCTCGCCAGGCACCGTGGAACGGGATTTCCAGGAACTACAGCTTTCTTCATTGTCACCCCGTGTTAGAAAATCGGCAAGGAGCGACGACGGGAGTTGAATTTGTGCTGCGCAAATGGGTGGTGGACGTTGAGACTGGCGCCCCGTTAACCTTCGAAAAAGTCTGTCAGAAATAGGTTTGAAAAGACGGCTGTCGCAATCGGAACATAATGTATCAATGGGTGCATCTATAGGAAAGATCCGATGACAGCTACCACAGATCGGATAGATGGTGAAGCGATCCTGGAGATCGAAGCGATTGATGATCGTGTGTAGTGTTATGGGAAGGGGGTTAGTTGGTTGGAGTACATTGAGTGCGATGAGGATGGTGTTGAGCGTGAAAAGGATCAGCGCACATGCACGAAATGATACCCGGTGTTTGGCATGTAGGACCGCAACCAAGAGCAGGACAAGACGTCCAAACCATTCAGTATGGCTATCACGATAAAGTTGAGCCGCACTGGGTGGAGCCTCGTATTCTAAGGGTGTGGGCACTTGGAATTGACGGTGCTGAGAGTTTGCAGATGTCCGTAGCACCCTTGCTCAATGAGTGTCGTTGTCTGATTCTGAGTCTCCGTTGAGTTCCGTCGCGGTATGGAGAAGTGGATCATTATGGAGGTTGTCTCCGGCATCCGGATCATCATACAAGCCGACAGTCGTTCGAGCTACAGTATGTTGAGCGTTTTCGTTTTGGGTTTCGGCATCCAAGTCCGCCCGTTGAATCTGGCGAGGTACTAGTGCCGGTATTGAATGGGCAACTGGGATCGGGCTGCCAAACGGAACTGGACTCGTGCGCATGACGGAGATAGGGCGAGGACGAGGAGAAGAGATGACACGAAGATAAGGAGAGCTGGGTGATGGCATGGCAGCCATAGGAGATAATGGTGCATGCGGCAAGGGGTCTGGTGGCGGCGGGGTGGCTGATAGAGGATGCTCGTGTTCCTGTGGTTCCGGATGAGTGTTGTCCACATCCATGTATGAAAATCTTGAAAACATTGGTGAGCCAAGCACAAATACAAAGAAAAACATACGAAGGAGATGATGTGCGTGAAAGAACCATGGGTTCTGGTTGAGATGGGGATGGTGGTCGAGACGGAACAGGAACCTCATGCGGAATTGTTGGCTGGGTCGCTGAAGACCGAGAACCTGACACTCCAGAATTTGCAGATCGCGGAGCAGAACCCCGAGGTTGAGGAGGAGCACCTCGAGGGGGGGGCTGACCCACGCGCTCGAGAGGGGACATGGAGGCCTCCACGGTCACGTTGCAAAGAACTTGAAGCGCCTCGTCCTCGTTGCGCTATTGCAGATAAGCTGAGGTTTTGAGTGCGACGATGGTTTTCACGTTGATATGCGGGGATGTTCTGGCCGCCTTTGGTGGGAGCTGCAAATTTGCAAACATCGCAGTCGCACCATACGAGACGTCGATTCGACCTCGTCGTGTGGCCAACAGTTTGCTGTGAGCAGGATATTCATTTAGTAAAGCAAATGAGAACGAGAAACTAGTGGACTCACCTGGTCGTCGTTCATGGTGGTGGTAGGAAGATAAGATGAGGATCCGATAAGACTTAGATGAAAAAAATGTCACGACGTGTATGCACCGTCTAGACGCTAGATACATACCTGAGCTAAATGAGACTTATTTTAACTTACAAGTATCGCACCAATGGGAAAGCGAACGAGGCCGTCTATTAAAAGCTATTAGTATTTACAAACAATCTGAATGAGACGGCGTAGTTGATGGCATCAAGTATATATGGTTCGAAGATCTGGTAGTGCGTAGTGGAGGATGAAGGCAGCTGTCCTAATGGATGTCGATGACTAAGTCATATTACTTGTAATTACGGCTTCTACCGTGACCTATTCAACTTGCGAGTAACCTACGGCTCAACGCAGTGAGTGGCAGATGAAGATGAGGGTGAGGATAGTATGCTGGAGATGGACGGTAGCTGGTCGCAGCAATCATTTCAGACTGGAGACAAACAACCAATTGTGGCCTTAAAGTCATCGGAGGAGAAGAACTTGGAGCACCTATTCAGGAGTGTCTACTATGAAATGTGCAACAAGGTCAAAGTCAAATCAACATTACTGCCCTTCAAGGTTTTAGCAGAACCGCTGTGGGTACAACAATTCACATTGGTAGGAATCTGGTGTTGGGTCTGCTGCCTAGCTGCTATGTCAGAGTTGACAGTGTAAGACCCAGGGTTTCTGGACCAGGCTCAGAGCTCAGAGAGAGAGAGAGGATAAGGCAAACTGCATTCTAAGTCACTCCAGGTGATAGTAAGGGTAAAGACCAACATGATTATGTAAGCAGTCCAAGTGCCAACACAAGCAAGGTAAATAGGGGTAAAGTAAGCCTAACCAGGAACTTGTTCCTACACTGCGATACTGGTCCTCGGAATTCTCTAAAGTTCCTGTACCAGATCCCACTGATGCGTGGAAACCCGATCTAGTCCTTATGGACTACAAGCTGAAGAAGCTTGCCATGGAAGACAAGAGCTGGGTAGATGTTCTAACAGGAGTCGAGATCACAATCTCAAACCTGTACGAAGGACGAGACATACCAATATTCTTGGGGGTTGCAACCAAAAGCTACCTCATCATGTGGGAACAACCATGGCGTCGTTTCATACTGCTTTTCAGTGTCATGAACTTGAAGTTTCGTGCTCATTATTTGGACCGCTCTGGCATGATCATATCGGTACCTCTCTCGATTGGTAGAGACACTGTCTGTTTTGCCAATGTCTTAAACATGATGATGTTAGTAGGTCACCCTTCCCTTGGTTTCGATCCGACCATTCATGTTTGCGGTACCATTTGCCGAGACATTCCTCATGATGACCTACCAGGGGGGTTCGATGACATGGTGATCAGAGCGATAGGCTGGGTTACAGACAATGAGGGTGAAGTGTATTGGATCATGGCCATCTTATGGAAAAGTTGTGGTCTTTTTTCATGTGGAACTGTATGCTATCACACTCAGGACAAGAGTGGACGAGAGTATGTGTTGAAGGACTGTTGGGTAGACGCAGAAGTTTTATCACATGAGGAATCCCTCCTCAATGTGGTCGCAGGCGTTCCAAATGTGGTCCAGCTAGTGAAATGTTGGGATGTCCAGTATGGCGGAAGTACTGACTGTACATTAAACATTTGTGACCACATTTACGATCACCTCCCACCTTCACCAATATTTGTCAACAAAGTTCACCATTGCATGCTTTTGACCCCCTGTGGACTCCCACTAACGACCTTCGCATCTTTACCCGAATTACTTAATGTTTTTCTTGACCTTGTCATTGGTGAGTTCCCTTGTATATTTGTCGTAAATCTTGGCACTGACAGACACTGGTAGCTCACAAAACAATGGTCTTTGATTGAAAAGTTCTACACGGAGATCTCAGTCCCAACAATCTCATCATCCACGAGGGCAAAGGCTACTTCATCGACTTTGATCATGCTAAATTCATCCAAGAAAACCCAATACCAAAGGATTCACGTGGTACTGTGAGTTCGAAGTTGACATTTTCAGTGGGGCTCATTTTGATCTTGTTTTTTGAAGGGAACAATACCATACATATCCTGCTGCCTTCTCAGGTTGATGGGAGGTGTCCCATCTCCGAACTTGATTGATCACAGGGCCTCCGATGACCTGGAATCGCTTTTCTGTATTTCCTCGAGTTCACCATCATATACATGGGGCCTGGGGGCTTAATCACAAACAGAGGAACAGAGGCTCCCTGTCAACTGCCGAAGATGGCAAAAGGCATATGCAACAATGGACCAAGATGGTCTTGGGACTAGTGGTAGCCTCAAGAGAGAATTCATGATAGAGAAAAATCTGAGTTTCAAACCTTCATCATTCTTCAAAGCTTGCTGTCCTATCCTTGAGGAGTGGCACCGGGCAATTGGAGACGCATTACAGGATGAAAGGGACCTCTCTCATGACGAAATCAGGGAAATCCTTAAATGGGGGCTGGAAAATTTGGACAGCTTTCCGAGTCCCAAGATACTGTACCCTATCATGAAATTGCCGCCATCTGAGCATGATAGTCCGGCAGTTTCCACACCTTCTCAACCCATAGCCACCCAGCCTTCTAATTGGCTTCCTCATCATTCCACACGAAACAATCTGGTTGCAGCTGTCGCCTTGTCATCATCCTCAATGCCCCCCCCCCCCCCCACCTCCTGCACGTCCAGGCCGCCTGCCTTCATCAGGACCATCTGTTGCCTCGTCATCATCCGTACCTCTTCCCCCACCTTCTCTACCTGTTCCCAGTTACAACACTTGTTGTTCTTTGTGGAAGGTGAAATAGCATTCCTCGGCTTAGCTAGCTGATACATCAGCCTGCAATGCTTATCCACATACGGAGCTCAAGAAAGTTATAATCTCAATTGCAAAACAACTGTGTGGTATTTTCTCGGACAAGTGACACCCAAGGAAGCGGTGCAATCGGGTGCAATGATTGATGAGGTCGAAGCTGGTGAAGTCCCGGCGACTATCATTTCAACCTTACACATTAAAATCACACTCTCCGTACTCTACTTGTCCTTCATATGCTATGGGTCCTAGATTTTTTCTATAGTATGCTTTGTTACAACTCGTGTCTATGCTGTCAAATTGTATTATGTAATACCACATAATATTATGACCTTCAACTCTTCCAGAAAGTCCAGCTTTGTTTTCTTCACTCAATGCCTCCCAGGAAGAAGGCCAGGCATGGTTCTCCAGGCAACAATTCCAAGGATGCCAAACTCCCATGATGAAGCGGCCAATCTAATCATGGTGTTGGTGGTCATGCAGCGCAGCTGCAAAAAGCTGGAGAATTGGTGATGGCCAAAGGCATTGAAGAATCTTGAAATAGACGAATTTGAAGAAAACCCAATGGCTCTTTCGCAATCCACAAGGCAAAGAAAAAAGTAAGTGTTTTGTTTGAGTGACTTGGGCTAATTATGAACATTTATTTCAGGCTATTAATACAGCAAGGTCTGTTGAAGCCAGCACATTATGATCAGAAAGCCGAAGGAGTCATTCTTCGTGTCCACACTTCCATGAGGCCTGCCCTTCAGAAAGGTTTGGGTTTAAGCCACCATCTGCCGCCGATAAACAAGATCCAACCCAGCCCAGTCGCAACCACAACAAGGCTAGAGAGGAGGCCACACAGCGAGATGTGAGAGATGATGGATGTCAAGACTCTGACCATGATCAGTTGGAGAACGGTGCTCATGCAAATCACACGGAATACGATGAAGATACTTATCGCAGTGGAGACGACAACCCCACGCAAGACCAAGAAGATGAAGAAGATTCCAGGGATGATGAAGAGGATCCGGATTTCCGTGACCTGTTGCCAGTCAACAAGGACAATGGACGATACTCTGATGGATTTAGACTGAGACAACGACACCCAAGATGATAATGAACGTGATGGTTCTGGTGTTTTTGATGTCCTTCAATGTCACCACGCGAAAAATGGATGGTGCAAGGCTCCTTCCCCGACTCGTCTATCAAGTGTACACGATTTTCATTGCTTACATTCACAATCACTGACTTTTCCTAGTCCTCTCACAGACACTCCCATGCACATGCTCATTTGAAGCCTCCTAGCCAACATTCACCTCAATATGTAAGTTCATATCTTTATTGCCGAAGTTCGTTTCTGATCTGCTAACTAGGCATCTCGTTGCCAATCACTTGAAAGTTCACGTATTTCGTCCGCTCATTTTGAACCTTCTCAGTGCACCCCTCAAAGTGCGCTGCCTGAAAAGTGCTCTACTCATGTATGACCTCAGCATCGTTCTGCCGCTTGGTCTAAATCTCCAGATGCAAATGAATCTCGTGGTTCCACTTGCAGACTGTCTCCTCATCATTCAACAATTTCCTCCGGTCACACACAGCCCCCCTCTCGTGGGCGCTCCTTGTCACACCTTCCATCTAAGCAACATGATCATGTACCTTCCCCCACTCCAACTTCAGGCTGTTCTTGCTCACGTAGTCGTACATCTGATCAACATGGCCAACCCAACTTGAAGAACAGAGGGGAAGGTAGGAACAAGCAAACCAACACCTCGAAGCTTGGTTTTTATCCACCATGTTGGCAGTCATTTCTTCAGGCTGCAAAATTGGAAATGTGCTTGCAGGCTGTACTCACCCATCCAGTTCCTGAGCACTTGGACGCGCAAAACTCACACGAGAAGTCCTGGATGCATAGTTATGGACTTATCACTCGAAGAAGATCAAATTGGAAAAGGGTACGTCGCTCCATACTGCCAGGTCGTCGCGATCTAATGTTTCCCAGGATATTTTCTGGAATACACTACACATATGTCATGCTTGGTGAGTACCGGGTATTGGCCGTGAACCCGCTTGCTGACACATGAACAGCTCTGCGACAACTTGTTCGCCTTCCGTACGGAGCTCAAGAAAGTTATAATCTCAATTGCGAAACAACTGTACAGTATTTTCCCAAAAAGCAGCTCAACACGCAGGGAAGCGGCACAGAAGCACATTACTGATGTAGCGTCTAAGTTGATCAAGTCCGGTGAATATCTTCAAATTCCTAACTCCTCTGAGGTTAGTAGTGACTGCTGGAGTGGTGTCTTGTTTTAATTTTTTCTAGGGCAAGTATAAGAATTTCGTCTCTCAGGTTCTCAAGGATGGATGCCACAATTTCTACTACAGCAATGGCAAAAAAGCGCTGAAGTTGACTGACAAATTTCAACGCTCGATTCCTGTCAACAGTCTTATTCTTGTGGCTGCGGTTATATGCTCATTTTAAACTAATTTTTATTTATATCACTAATCAGTCTCAACAGACGAAGGGTGTTATAAGCGGCTTCCACGATACCGGTACAAACAAGGTCCCTGACCTGTCCGCCGACAAATGCAGGTCCGATTTCAATTCCATATGAAAATCTGTCGATAAATTGTTGGAGAGCACTGAGCGTCGTCAAGAGCTTGACAAGATGCTAGAGGAATGGGCTGAGTATAGAATGATGGATGAGCTTCAGGATGATTCGGATGGTGCCTCCGGCAGTGAGGACGTCAACATTATTCTGAAGCACTTTCAAACTGCAGTCTTACACCATGGTCTATACTAGAATGTCTACATTGTCTGAGCTGTCTAACATTGTCTGAGCTGTCTAACATTGTCTGATCTGTCTAAGCTGTCTAAACTGTCTAGCATGTCTATATTGTCTAGCATGTCCACATTAACTATACTGTCTAAACTGTCTAGCATGTCTAGTATGTCCACATTGTATAGACTATCTAAACTATCTAGTATGTTCGCATTGTGAGTATTTGTATGGATTGTGATACTCTGTGACAGATTTATAAAGGAGGGACATTGTCATGGAAGTGTACTATTTGTACAATCTTGTACAACCTTGTACAAGGACCCGGTAGTTTGCTGATGATGTGGGCGATAAGACGAATGGATTGGAGTAGGAATGCACATGAGCAGATGTCTGGAAGACCCAGTTTGAAACCTGAGCCTGCTGAGCACTGACTACAATGGACTTGGATTGGTGGGGGTCCTCGCTGGGCACGATGCTGACATACAGTGGCTCAAAAAGTGCCTGAATGTTTGTGTGATTTTGAGTAATTGGATCATAGCAAGCCAGCACCTAAATATAACGTATTGGTGTAGGGACATATCTGAAAGCTCTACGTGATGGCTCGAATCTGAGCTATGTAGCGTAGGCACAAACCCTTATATGGGCAAGATATGGTAATTCTATTCTTATGACTCATTCAGACACTTTTTGACTTTATATTAAAATCACAAAATAAGACCATTCATACATAATAATCTTAATGAAAGTGGTACCATAATAATAATATGGTCTGATTTTAATATTATTTGAATATATAAACCCACATATGATCATGAATTTTAATATACTTATCATGAAGCCCATCTCCTTTGCTCAAAAGGATAATATTCTTATTCTCTCTACCTCTGGTTTATCTATCAGGAACATTGCTTCCAAAACTGGTCTTGGCAAGTCTACTATTGCTACAGTTATAAAGCAGAACATACCAGATAAGGAAAATGTCAAAATGGAATGTCCTCCTAAGCTTACCCCATAGAACAAAAGAGCTGTTGTTCATCAAATTCTGTCTGGCAAGGCTTCAAATGCTGTACAAGCCACCAAGTTCATCAATTCCATTATCTCTACTCCTGTCTCCACCCAAACAATCAGAAACACCCTCAGGGCAGCCAATCTCAAGGCTGTAACCAAGAAGAAAAAACCTCTTCTCTCAGCAGCTCATAGGAAGAGAAGATTGGCCTTTGCTTTAAAGCACCAACATTGGACTGTGGAAGACTGGAAGAAGGTTATTTGGTCAGATGAAATAAAAATCAATAGAATGAGGTCAGATGGTCAGGAATATGTGTGGAAAAAGGCAGGAGAACCTCTAGGAGAAAGAGAAAAGGGTATACTAAAGTTTGGAGGAGGAAGTATGATGGTATGGGGCTGCATGGGGTGGAATGGTGTTGGGATTCTATGTGAGGTGGAGGGAAGGATGAATGCAGAGCAGTACATCTCCATCCTAGAGGAGTGTCTACTCAAAAGCATGCAGGAGTCAGAAATTGATAAAGAAGACATTATCTTTCAACAAGATAATGACCTCAAGCATACCTCAAAGCTGACCATAAAATGGTTTGAAGACCATAACATCAATGTTTTATTATGGCCAGCAGTCTCCAGACCTCAATCTCATTGAACATCTCTGGGAATTACTTAAGAGACTACTTGCTGCCTATCAAGATCCTCCGAAGGGGCTATTTGAACTATGGGAGAGAGTTGCAGTAGAATGGGCAAAAATTGCCAAAGAGGAGTGTCAGAAATTGATAGAAAGTATGCCTAGAAAGGTTGCAGCAGTTATTAAAGCCAAGGGAGGCAACACAAAGTACTAGAATCATATAATAAAATTGGTTTAACACATTGACTTTACAAACTAGTCATTGAGTTTCTCCCTGACCGTGAACTTCATGATGTCCTCTAATCTGTTTATCATTGGGTCTACTTTCTCCTTCATGGATTCAATGTCATTGATCATGGGTTTATAAGCAGACCTGCCAAGTGTGGCCGCATTGCTCATGGAGTCATTCAAGTAGAAGGGTGGATGTTTACTACCACTCGGCCTGGAAGAGGTATGAGCAGGTGATGTATCAAGTGGAGATCTTTCCGGTTCACAGGCTCTGGGAGGGTTGATTTTGGTATTCATGAAAGGAAACCACCTGCGTGGTGGTGGTGGTGGAGGAGGAGGAGGAGGAGGCAGCGAGTTGTCCAGGCTCTTAGATTGAAAAAAATAGCTACAGCATGTAGTAGAGCCTATAGAGGTAGCCTATGGGAAAAGTGTGACTAAGCACACTAATCTGGAGGTTGACCATGTCATCGTTGCTTGTTAATTTGTACTGCCACAGCTTCACAATGTTTATGTTCTGGATGCAGAAATTGGTGAGCCAGTTGGTCTGATCAATATGTAGAAACTTTGGCAGTTTGTCCTTCATCATGATAGAGTGAATATTATCGAGTTTGGACGGATATAAATGAACTGCTGATCTACACACCAGAGAAACAACAGCCAATAGACCAAAGGATCCTGTCCCACTTGCAAGGCTACATCTCCTCTTTATTTCCTGCATGTCAGACACATCAAATATATATTTCTCTACCCTGCAGTTAGCTCATCAATGTGTGACTATTATATCGCCTCTGTTACTACAGTCATACATCTGCATCTCTAGCCCTACCCTTAGGGTGCCATCACAGTCAACATATGCAGAATTGCTAAAGCAACACAGTCTAAGTCAGCCTGTGAAGACTTGCAAAACACGCCAATGGATAACAGACAGCACTACAAGTAAAATTAAGAAAGAAGACTTACTCATCCATCGGCCAATCATCCAACTGGACAGAAACTCTAATTGCACTGTTGTCAGTTTCAAGGTCCGTGTAAAGGTCACACAATCTAGTGATGGCCAGAGCAAGGAAGCAAAAGATAGACAAGGATAAACTTCAGTATGTATTGGCTTCAAATGACTGAGAACAATAAACCTACTCTTCAGGTAAAAGTGTGTGCGATAGAAGACTCATGTCTAGGGCTAGTAGAGGGTTCAGATCCTCACATCTCGAGTCAGGCAGCCCACAGGGGTCCATTATCACAAGTTTGGTGCTTGGATATGGCACTGGCAAGCTATGATCAGAAAAACAATATTCAACATGCCACTTTCCATTCAATCCCATATAAAATACTCACCCACTATATCAACTCTATATGCATGTTTGGCACTACGGACAATTACAATACTGAGGCTTTTGAGCGCCTCTATATTAATTTTGCCAAAAACGCCTGGAGGACTACTAATAAAAGGGATGAGTATCCACAAATGACTTCCTGGCTGGATAGGTATGAGAAGGTGTCATCTTTCCAGCTATACTTAAATAGTCTAGACAAAACACCTACTGAAACTAATCTCCAACCTCACATATCCCTACCAAAAGGATCCATCATAATGGTCAATCACTTCAAAATATTATGGAGGCCCATCGCTGCCCTAGACTGATGCAGGATCTCAAAAATTATCTCAATCAGTTGAGGAGAAGGGCTATAGGTGAAGGTTTGGGGTGAAATAGATTGGAAATGACACAGCTTCCATTTGAAAAGCTTGATGTATACTATGGTTTTAAGTTTGTTTTGGAGAAACTGGGGGAGGATGCAGTGGATGGCCATGGACCAAATGACTAGGTATGAGCATGCCCAAAGACTAGAGGCTCCCATGATTAGGAACAGTTTAATACTGTTGTAGTGATGAGGATTGATGAGTGTGAAGGCACAAGCCTTCAAGGTGAGTTGATTTTGTTTACTTTTCTTATTAAAATCTGATTATAGAATCCAGGTACAAGAATTGGTAGACCATGTTTATTGTTCAAGCTACCCCAACAGGTCTACAGTGCTTTGGCCTCCCTAGAGTACTGGCTTATGGAACCCCTGGCCTATATCCAATGGTATACTCCACTTAAACCTGCACTGGAGAAAGGCCACCTTATGTATTAGGTGAAAAAGATGCCTCTAAGGAACAGTAACATAGCCCTAGCAGATATCATTCCTATCAGCAGCATACATCAGACATGTTAGCTTATTTCTTATTTTAGTGCTGGAGGTGTTTCAGATGAATGGAAATTAGAAAATGTACTTGATAGCTATGATGATTTCTTATTAAATAACTGGTCCACCAAGTACACTGTGGGTACAACAATCCTGCTGAGGTGCAGGGAAATGTTGGGTCTTGCTGGCCTAGGCTAGTTTGACCAAAGAGAGAGAAACAGCAAAACAGCAAAACAGCAAGACAAAAAGACAGGGGGCTTCAAACAGACTCTGACCCAGACTGGTACTGGTGAAAGATTGACTGGATTATGTAAGCAATAAGAGTGCCAACATAAAGTAAGTAAAGTATCAATTGTGAGGCCAGAGACTGGAGGTTTCCTACAATGCATATCAAACACTGTATTAGGGTGTAATCTTGTATAAAACAAATTTGATCTTCATAAGTCGCCTTTGGAAAAATAAGTTCAATAAAAGCTACTGTATTTATTAAAGCTGTTAAAACCACAGATGAAATGAGTGTTGCTATAGAGCTCTTTGTAGAGCTATATTAGCTGCAAAAGCTGTTATAGTTGGGCCTTTTGGACCCCTATCTATATAGCTCTCTAGTGCAGAACAGTTTTTCCTGATGTATGGGTGATGGGTGCAGCATATGAGGCTCTTCTTGTCTTATGGGAGTCATATTACTAAGAGTCTTAGTAGGTGAAGGGCACTACTGTCTTCTGAATCCTGGCTTGTGGAAAGAGTGATCACACAATATTAATGTGAGTGATGAGACAAATGTATTAGAGTAGAAATGTGACTGAGCAGATGAGTCTGTGATCCGACCCAGTTTGAAATGTAAGCCTGCTAAGCGACAAAACAGTACACCCTCTCATGCCAGGCCAGGCCCAGTAAGAAACACCCCATTGATAAAGTAGTATGAAGTATCATAGTAATTTTAATTCAGACTGGTGTGATAATATAAGGAGGTTGGGACACTGTTCGTACTTTTTAAGTTTCTCAAAAAAATGTCTATTCATCAATATCCACCGCAACCAGCCCATACTGTCATAATCATATATAATTCTATTACAACTGTAATACATAAACTGTTACTGCACCTGCTGTGCCTTGATGAATCTTTGAAAATCCCTAATGTATTACTCACACCTCTGGTTGTTACTTGTTTGGCTACCTGCTGTAGGGAATTTCCCCATAACAGTCAAAAATAGATTGCTTCTCATACTAGGGCCTTTCCATATTATTCCCACACCCCATATTTTCGCATTTTTGGCTACATACTGTGGGAATTATCCTATAATACCAAAAACATTGCCCATTTTGGGAACCTCTACAATATCGAAAATTCCCACACCCTTCCTACCTCACTGTAGCTTCACCACTACACCACAATAGGACCCCCCCTTGTATCTAAGTAGTAGTTTAGTATATACATATATAATATAATGTAAATAACCACTTTTTCTATGATAGCTCCTCCTCCAGGGCCCTTTTAAAATGATGTGGAGTACTAAACATTTTTTTCATTTTTGCCCCTTTCATATGTAAGTGTTCTATGGCATTCAGAACATGTTTATAGGTATATATGAAGAGATTCTAATATTTATTTGACCCCATGAAGTGTCCAACATCAGTAGATATAGTGTATATGTATAAAAACACAAAATGTATTCCCATGTCCCTATTTCTAGGTGGATGGACTTGGAAAACGATTACTAACATCTATTTAATATCACGAACAATGTGTCAAGAGTTCAGGACCATAGGATAAGAAGTTGTTGTGTAGTATTATTTTTTTTTCCTAGTGGTGTACCCCTGTTAATTTTTTTCCTGTAGGACCAGACCCCAAGAAGTGCAAGGTGTCTGTTCAAATTCATATTTAGAATATACCCATCACATAAGTACTCCAGAATATCTACAGGGTCCTTCTATAGAAACATAAATATAATACTTAAAACATCAAAAACGGTCAGTTGAGTTTTTAGTGTTATGGGGTAATTCCCATGGTAGGTAGCCAAAAATGCGAAAATATGGGGTGTGGAAATAATGTGGAAAGGCCCTGGTATGAGAAGCAATCTATTTTTGACTATTATGGGGAAATTCCCATGCTAGGTGGCCAAAAAAGTGACAATTACTAGTAGGGTATGCAAGTACCCTAACAGGAACTTCTGAGTATTATATTATAGGTATTTGTAGACTACCGAAATCCATATATAGTCTTACAACTGTGACAACTCAATGCATAACTATACTTTACAAATAGTCATTATTCATGCATCAACATTCACTTACTATCATAAGGCTTAATGCATTATCACCCCAGGGTGTTGTGCCACAACAGCAGCAGTAGCAGCAGCAGCCATCACAGCCGCAGTTTAATCACAATCATTATACAATTTTTTCCTCTCATCATTGTCGTCCTCCCAGGCCGATAACATTGAAGGTTACTTCACCATCACTTTTAAAATGTGAGTAATAATAAGCTTTAAAAATATTATGTGCCTGACAGTTTGTGTCATACTTGATTATCTGGTAGGTCTGTTCTTTATACTTATGACCAATTGGGATGAGATTGAATCAGCATCAGAATCCAATGCAGCATGGAGAATATATGTGGACATGAAAAAACCTCTGTTGAACTTTCCAATTGTTTTTTTTTGCTTTTGGCATTGTGGGGTGTTACAAGGAATGATAATATGTTGGTTGACTTGGAAAATTCACTGGTAGCTAGTATCTTGATCATTGCTGCAGTCAATGCAGCATTAGGTCATCAGTAAATGTGCAGGCACCTAGTGGCACCTGAACATCCTGGCAGTGACCTGGATGACCTGGTGGCCTGGTAGGTGTTTGCTTCTCACACATGAAAAACTGAAGTTAGAGAAAATATATACTGTGATTTATATGTACATAGTTTTACTTCATCATCTGACAATCTATTTTTATGTTCAGGCATCTGGCTGCACCTGGTCAACACCTGAATGTCCTGGCAGCAACCTAGTGCTAACCCTCACTACATATTGTATTCTCATGGCAAAGTCAATAAGTAGGTTATAATAAAATCTGGGCATTTGAAATTATATACTCTTTTGAGTGAGGAAGAATAAAGTTACTGTGGTGGAATAGTAGGTACATAATGGTTGTTGATAATTAATTCTAACACCATGAGGTCTTGAGTTCAATTCCTGACATTGGCAATTAAAAGTGTTAAAAATGTGAATTTTTTTTGCCTTATTTACTACCTAAAGCTGGCAATCTGGTAGTGATCTGGTATCAGGAAGCTAATCTAGTTATGACAGATTCATATGGACACAGGCTCAAATCAGGTAGCCTGATAACCTGCAGCCAGACTTCTCCAGGCCATCCAGGACTCTTTGCATATTTCCTGATGGTGTGTACGCTCTCATTGAATTTCAGTATAAATGTTTACATCATGTAAATTCAGGTGTGATTTCATCAGTTGCTGATTATGTCACTGTATGCCTTTCACAGCACTGAGGGTATGGGCAAGTAATTCATGAATATTATTATTAACTTAATTTTTGATTAATTTTACAGGAGCTGTCAAACTCAAACACGAGGTGGATGGTGTTCCAATTAATGCAAGTATATCCATACATTTTGGTAAATCTTGCAACCTTCTTATTTTTGGTGGCACTTGGCATTGTGGTCAGGAAACCGCATACAGCAATGCATGTTCTTACATGGCAATTGGGGTTTGGCATATCTTGTTCCATTATTCTGGTCATTTATTTAATTCATATTTACTGCTTGTGTGCCACTACTATTTACATCCGTGATGACACATAGGTCACAATTCAAACTCTATGTAGCGCTGTGTGCTTTATATGTGACTGGTATTCAATGTGAGACCACGACAAAGAGTGGCACCCAATATGCTATCGTTGATGAAGCTATCTAGGCCCTCAAAATGATGCTCACCAAATCAAACTGTGCTCATGATATGCAGATACAAAGTAAGCACTGAGTGACACTCTAGATGTTCAACTCTTTGCTTAGAGCTGCATGAACAGTATCTCAGTCCATCCAATGCAGGATGTGCTATTTGAAGGGCTTTTGATGCTCAACTCAACACCATTAGTGAACTGGTGGATCTCTGAGAAGAATATATATAACAAAATATAGCATATAATCATTAAAATCTGTATAAATCTGTTATCGATAATCATATTGTCATTTTTGACCTTATCGAGGAAAGAAAAGTTCTAATTTTCCTACACCAGCTTATAATTAAAAAAAGACCCTCACATCACTCAAGCTTGAATTTGAAGGGAAGGTGGAGCAAAAACTAATGATTAAACTAGATGATTCACAATTGCCATGTAGGATTTAAGTTTCGCAATGTCAAATATAAGCACGAAAGCCAGAATCTTCCAGAGAACAATAATGTTGCTCAGAGTGAGCAAGAACTGACTACATGAATTAAAACTGCCACATCAGCAGTAAGGTTCACAACTTTCAAGCTAAGACTGAAAGCCTGTTGTGCAGAACATTCTGGCGCTGGCCTCACAATTGATGTTTTACTTACTTTATGTTGGTACTCTTACTGCTGACATAATCCAATGAATCTTTGATCCAGTACCAGTATCTGTCTGAAGTCCAGTCTGAAGTCCACTGTCTTTTTCTTGCTGTTTTTCTCTCTGTGGGCACTGAGCCTAGAGCAGAGACCCTTTAGGGTCGAACTAGCCTAGGCCAGCAAGACCCAATATATTCTCTACACCCAGTGAAGAAGTTGTTTGCACATTGTGTTCAATTATCAGAGGATAAATAGAATGTGTATCAATGAAGTCAAGATAATAAAAAGCTTACCATGAGGGCCAGAAGAAATTTTCTTCTTAAATTTTCCCATGTTCAATGAACTTGCTCAGAGCAAGCAGTAACTAGCTTTTCTGACAACTTAAACATTATTCTAGACTCTGCAATCATATATA